TGGTGAGAAGTAGCTTGCTGCCCCCGAGCGTCAAGATGGGGGCACTCCTCGATAGTGCCCCACCTCGATGAGTGGCTGTAGTGCTGTTGCCGCTGACTGGTGCCGAGGGTGATGAAATAAATACACTGACGTTCAGTACCCCACTCGCGCGGTGCGACGTGCTCGCAAGAACAGCCAGCTCCGTTGCACGCATCACGAGGCACGGTACTGGCCCAGGGAGGAGCCTCGCAGTCATGCCCAGCTCGAAGCTGCGGCCAGTACCCGTGGGGTGGGATGGGCCATGGGAAAGTCGCGGCGCTCCCGCGGGCGATTTGCTCCACATCAAGAAGTTGCCTGCAGCTGCGAAGTTTCCTGCGCAGCCTGATCTTCATGTCTCGTACTGTGTGGGGTTCGCCTCATCGTATCAGCGGGTGTCTGGGGCGAATTACCCGAACGCTTACAGGACAGCCATACACACAAGCTGTTCGGGGAATGGAGGGTGGATCCAAAGAAAAATTGGGGAGAGGGCGGATGTGCGTCCACATCGCACTATACACAGCCCCGTGAAGCGCGAGCTGGGATCGCCCCAAACCCCGCCACCAATTAGAATTGCGGGTGGCATGGGCGAAGTAAGATGCATGGCGGCAATGGTAACATGATGTAGAGCAAAACGTATGTCCGTTTTCCTTCAGTACCGTATGGTCCGCGTGCAAGCTGTACGCCAGAAAGCAACGGGCGCGCACGCGTGCTCTTATTCGAGCGGGGGGAGGAGGAGTCAGAGGAGGAGGATGGAGAAGGGACGCTGTTCCCATCGATGCAGCAAGCTCCCCACCTTCTGGTTGCACGTCTTCACAAGGCTGCCATGACACGCGTGACACATGCCGCTGGCAAACCGTTCCAAGGCCTACCGTCGGCAGCCACTTCGCTTCGCATGAACTCAAGTTGGAGGAGAAAAGTGCGGGCGTGGGACGCTGTATTAGAAATCATGGAGACGATCAGTGAGGACGCGAACGTGTATTTAGCTCGACTGAATCTGGAAACCGCTCGGTGCCAGTCAGAGCTTGCACCCGTGAACGGTGACGCCTCCACTGCGGACACTGCCGCAAGCACGGACACTGACAGAAGCTTGGCCAGCAAGAGTCACGAGCAAGAGCGTCAGACCGACCTGCATCTGCAACGCTTTGCTCGGGACGCTCTCCAGAGCTCCATCGACGATGAGGACGTTACGAGACGGAAGTCTACCTCCACCTCGTCGTGCGCACTCCTCTGGAAGAGACCGCTACGGATCACGATGAGCTGCTGGGCGATCCCAGCGAAAGCGTGGGCAGCATTGTCGAAAGCAATCGAGCATGCGAATGAAGGCGAAGATAGACTCTCCGACTGCCGCGTCAACAGCAGCTCCGACAAGGTCAATGATTGCTACGCCGACGGCCGCACCGACAGCAGCAAAGGAGGTAAGGTCGCTGTCCGAGCTCGACATGCAGCTCGATGAGCACGACTTCGACACCATGGTCGACGAGCTGGCCACCATCCAGCTGGCCACGGGCTATGGCTAGCAGGCGCCAGCCTGACACGGTCGTCAAAATGCACTCGGCGAGGATGCGCTGACGGAGGCATGGATAAAGCTTCAACAATTCCAGCCTCACCATGCACAAATGCATCCAGGACGACTACATGGATGACCAGCCCAAGATCAAGGGCAAAGGGATCAAGGCTACGGTGACCCCTAAGCCACTGGCGAAGGCTCGGCCGCCCATCATTGCTCTTTACTGTCCAGAGTGCGGGATAGCCTTTAAGTTGCAGAGAAGGTTACCCATCGATCGTCATTCATGTGCGCAGATTGCTGCCTCACGTGCGCAGCGCAGCAACAAATACGAATGAGTTTGAGTCTGTCGCATGACGGTGCTTTGATGATCGTGTTTCGGCCTCCTCTCATCTTCCCCCTTTTCCTGCATGATCCTACATGCTGGCTCCAGGTGGAACGTGAATTGCTTCGAGTATTATGTGTGCTTGCGTGTGCGTCTTGTTGCGTTGGGCGTTGCGTGTATTGGAAGAGTGGAGGACCTCGCCCCTCGCACATCGCAGAATGCATGCGCAGAGGAGCCTCGAAAACATATGATGCATTTCCAGACTCTGCGCTCTGCCCTGCCAGTGGCGCAGTCCGACAGCCAGGAGCCAGTGCAGCAGCACGCCCACATGCAGCGCTCCGCCCCTTCCTAGCCGTCCCTCGCGTTCCTCCCTGCCTTGCTGCCCTGGGTGTCCAAAGGCTCCCAGTCGAGACAGACGGCAGGGAGAGAAAGGGGGAGGGGGGAACACGGAGAAACGCCGAGCAGCGCTGCCGCTGCCCTTCTGCTGCGTGCGTTTGGCCACACGGTGATCGACGCAGCATAACTTGACGTTTCAATTGCGTGTGCGTTTATGCAGAATAATGCCTGACTGGCGCGGTTTGGGGCCTGGTGGTAGGAGTTAACGAGTAAAGGTGGGGTGAGGAGCAAAGTATGCGCCGGGCAGAACGGGCACCCCATGCGGGATTGCGCTGCTCGTGATCACCCGACGAAAACTGAGCAGTTCTCTGGGATCGGCTTCTCATAATAGGTTCGCCCCTTCGTTCTGATGCTTCCGACTCTTCCGAGGAGGGGCGTGGGAACTCAATGGGCCGCCTCTCGCCCTGCTGTTGCGCAGTGGCCCGCCTCAGTCCCCTCCTGCTCCAGCGCCAGGAAGGAGAGCGGATGAGGGAAGGAGGGCGGAGGAAGAAGGGAAGGGGGAAGGGGAAGCAAAGGGAGGAGGAGGAGGAGGGAGGCGGGGCGGAAACGGGAGGGAGGGGGGGAGGAGGGAGGGGAATGGAGGGCGGAGGAGGGGGGGCGAGGCTGAAAAGGCTGGAAAGGGCACAGGCAAGATGCCTCGCCGCGGCGCGGCTGGCCCGAGTCACGTGCCGAGAACAGCTCCCAGACGCAGGAGCGGCGACGAGGAACCCTAGGGGCCCCACCAGACAGGCGCACCCCTGCAACGGCCCTCCGAGGAGGGGAAGGCCGCGGCCATGGCCCCGCCACTCCTGCAGGGACGGACACCAACGGGCAGCCGAGCGCATCTAATTACAAAGGCCGCCCGCCCCAAAAACCTCGCGGGCCCGAACGGAGCAGCGCTCCCCAGGCTACACCCGGAGAACCGCCAGAACTTCGGCCCGAGCCCATGCAGCCACGCGTAGCTACTCGCCCTCGGCGGCTTGCACTGGCCGTCGGACTCGAGAACGACCCCAGCACGCATGACATCGTCCGCTCTTGCCCCACTCCTCCTGCTTCTTCCCCTCGATCCTCGCCTGCCCGGCAAAGGCGGGACAGAACTCCTCCACGGAGGAGGAGGAGGAGGAGGAGGAGGAGGAGGAGGAGGAGGAGGAGGAGGAGGAGGACCCGAGCCGCTCCATCGCCTCCGCCAGCGCGGCCTCGCGCGACCCTCGGAGCCAGGCTCGAGGCCGTCGACGGCCTGCGATAAAGGGAAATTAGGACACACAAATAAATACACACAAATAAAAATATTCCCCATATTTTCCCATATTTTCTGGGTTTTTGTCTTCCCCCCCACTTCCCATATTTTTGCATATTTTCCTGGGAGTCGACGATTAATTGTGTCTGCGTGTTTCTTTTCCCCCTGATGCGAGACCAGGCCGACATGGCCAGCCCTCCGCGTCGGCGAAGACGCCCGGCACCCCGACGCTGCCCTCCACGCACGGAGGCTCCGCAGCGGCAGCGCCTCCGGCGGCCCCAGGGGCACCCCGGGCCCGCCGGGCGGCTGCGGCAGCTCTGGCGGCGGCTCCGGCAGAGCCCTGGCGGGCTCGGCGGGGCGCCCGGCGACCTCGGCGGGGGGGCTCTTCACTGGCTCGGATGCCTCCCGCGCGGCGCCCCCAGAAGCGCTCCGGGCCAGCCGGGCGGCAGCGGGGGCCCCGGCGCTCTGCCTGCTCACGTCCAGGTCGTCGTCGTGCTCGAGCCGCCGCGTGGCGCGGCGGCAGTGCGCAGCAGCGGCCTCCCTAGCACGCGCTGCTTGGCTGGCCTCGACTGTGGCCCTCCAGATCCGCGTTGGCGCGTCGGCGACGGCGGACTGCACCCCCGGCCCCTGGACGGAGTCGGCGTCCTGTGTCGGCACCTCCGCGAGCTTGAAGATCTTGCTCTCCAAGCCCTCGTCCTCAGGTCACCCGCGCCATCGTCATCACATTGATCGGCCCAGGTATTCGCCCCGAGCGGCAGCGCCCGATTTCCTCCCACTGCGCTGCCTTAGGAAGGAGTCGAGGGAGAGGTGTGAAACGCGAGAGGGGGAGGGAGGGGGCATGGGTAAGAATGACACCCTGTCTGAATCCGAACGGGCCCAGATATTCAGGCCCAGAAGTGTTCAACCGAAGTCAAACCAGAACATATCATGACTCAATCTTCGGATTTTCTATGGCAGTATCTTCGGATGATGTTTGCACTCCCTGCGGCCCCAGACCCCGCGGTCAGACAGGCAAGTTTCGCCCAGGTGGCGCTGCGCCCTGCCGCTGAGGGGGGGCGCGGGGGAGGTGGGCGAGGGTGGACGGGGCCAAAAGCAACGTTTTGGGATGCGGAAGCAGGCGCTCGGCCCCGCCGGACTCCAGTTCCGCCTCGGCTTCCCTGGCCCTGCCGGGGGCCAGCGGGCGCAGGGCCGGGCAGGCGACCCCCTTGTCGACGATGCCGCCGTCGTCGTCGCCGTCGCCGCCCTCCCCGCTTCCTCCACCCCCTGGCCCCCGCCCCCCCCGGCACAATCGAGCCCCTGGCAACCAAGCAGCGTCGGTCGGGCACTCGAGCTGTCCAGGCGGCAGGGCGGCGCGGGGGGGCAGCGGAGCAGGGAAGGGGGCACCAGAGGGGCCACGACGGAGGGGTGGGTGGGGCGCAGGCGGTGGGGGGAGGAGGGGACGGGAAGCAGTGAATCCTCTGCTCTGACAGTTCACGACATGTTTTCCACTAGGGCTCCCAACTTCGCGCTTCGCGCTGCGCGAAGCGCGAATAACTTCGCGCTCTCGCGCCGCCCTCCCAAAGGGAGAATAGGAGGACGAGGAGGAGGGGGAGAAGGAACGAGGACCGCGAAGCGCGAAGCGCGAATAACTTCGCGCCCTCGAGGGAGCCCTTGGTTCACGACATGTTTTCCACGAGCACCGTATATCAACAGGTGCACTGGGCCGACCGATGCGGGCGACGGGTCCAGGCGGAATTTCGCACCTGCCCGCCGCCAGCGCATGCAACCGCGGAAAAAGTCGCGCGGGGGCGGCCCAGCACGTGGCCCGTCGGGGCTGGGGGAGCTCCTCCTCCTCCTCCTCCTCCTCCTCATCCGCTTCCTCCTCCTCTTCCTCTTCCTGCTCCCCCGTCGTGCTGTCCCGCATCCCTACTTCCCTTCCTCCGTTCTCCATCCGTGCCTGGGTCGCTCTCCCCCTCCTCCTGGCGACGCTCGGGGCACGGGTCGCGCCAGGCAGCAGCGGCGGCGCCCGGCCCCCCTAATTACGCCCGACGCGGCACAGACGGCGCTGCGGCGGCGGCGCCCGCCTCCTCCGAGAGGCCGGGCACATCTGGCGGCGCGCCCGACGACGTGCCGCAAGGCAGCGTCGCCCTGTGGCGGGCGGCCGCCTCGCGCACCGCGCGCCAGCCGGCGCCCGCGCTGCCGCCCGCCGCACATCCCGCGGCGCCGCCGGTCGTCTCCCGCGGCGAGCCGCACATGTGGCAGAACCGGGACTCGGCCGCGAGGTAGGCGGCGCCACAGCGGCACGCGCCGAGGGGCGGCGGCGGCGCGAGGCCGGGGGCCGGCGCGGGCGGGGTGTCGCGGCCGCCCTTGCTGGAGAAGGCGGCCGCCAGGCTGGGGTTCTGCTCCAGGATGCCCTTCACACGCTCGTCCAGGCCAGCCAGGACCTGCAAGTTCACCTCCTTGTCCTTCTGGTTGGTCACGAAGTACTCCTCGAACCGGAGCGTCCGGGCCGCCTCCTCGGCCGACTTGTGCAGCCAGGCTCCGAAGAGGTAGTCGCGCAGGGCGGCTTGGCCGTCGCTGCCAGCGACGCCGTGCACCTGGGCACGGGTATCGAGACGAGAGGCCGGCGCAAGCCCGTCCTTCAGAGCGTGAATTACCTACCCCGCTTTCGCTTCCAGGCAAAACCAAGCCATACCACGCGCCTCCTCGTCAAGCGGCCTGACCAGTACAGGCCGTAGTTTGGCATCGTTTGGTATCCTTTGGAAGCGAGGGTGGTCAAAAGCGAGGTAGGTTTGGTTTCCCCTGATCCTGGGTGATCTGGCGCATCGACGTCCAGGCCTCCACGCTCGGCCAGAACCGCCGGTTGTAGTCGGCGTCGAACATGATGATCACCGTGCAGCCCAGGTAGAGGTCCGCCGGCCCCCTTGTGGGGCCACCAGGCTGCAGGCCCGTGATTCGCAGTTTCCTGTACCAGTCGTAGGTTGTAGTCCCACCAGCCCTTTGGGCGTGAGTGGTTTAGGGAGCTCTCTCTGTTCTCAACCCCCCTTCTTCCCCTTCGGGGAGGGGTTTACCCCTCCCCCTACCCCCTCCCCCTGGGCCTGGACAGGAACTCCGGGGTGTTCTCAGGGGGGTCTTTTTCGACCCCTGGGAGGGCCAAAAAACGACGACCCTCACGAGGATTCTGGCCCCGTCGGGGGGACACAGAAAAAAAAACCTCCTCGTCTGTGAAGCCAAAATCATTGATTTTACTACGGTTTTGGTCCCATTTTGGCCTTCTGAGGGGGCAGCGCTCCTCTTCCTTCTTCTCAAAATCATTGATTTTACGAAGGTTTTGGGCTCATTTTTTCCTTCTCAGGGGGTAGCGCTCATTTGCGCTTCTGAGAAGGTCGCAAGAAGCCCCCAAGAGGCCCGAAGATGCCCCCAGGAGGCTCCCAAGAGGCCTCCAAGAGGCTCCCAAGAGGCCCCCAAGAGGCCCCCAGAGGCTCCCAACAGGCACCCAAGAGGCTCCCACGAGGCCCGCAGAGCCCCCAAGAGGCTCCCAAGAGGCCCCCAAGAGGCTCCCAAGAGGCGCCCAAGAGGCCCCAAGAGGCCCCCAGAGGCTCCCAAGAGGCCCCACGAGGAGCCCGAACGACTCACACAAGGACGAGGGGCCCGAACGACTCACACCACGAAGAGCCCGAACGACTCACACCACAATGAAAGGCCCGAACGACTCATACCAGGACGAGGCGCCCGACCGACTCACACCACGAGGAGCCCGAACGACTCACACCACGACGCGGGCCTCCAACGACTCACACCACGTGGAGCCCGAACGAGTCACACCAGGAGGAGGGCCAGCGCTCCTACAAGCCCTCCAAGAGGGCCCCCAGAGGTCCACCAGATGGCCCCAAGATTGCGCTTCTGAGAAGGTCGCAAGAAGCCCCCAAGAGGCCCCAAGATGCCCCCAGGAGGCTCCCAAGAGGCCTCCAAGAGGCTTCCAAGAGGCCCCCAAGAGGCCCCCAGAGGCTCCCAACAGGCACCCAAGAGGCTCCCACGAGGCCCGCAGAGCCCCCAAGAGGC